CCCCCCAGGGACCCCCCCCAGGGCCCCCCCCAGGGCCCCCCCCGGGGACCCGGTGACCCCCCCCGGGACCCACCCCCGGCCTGGGAAGGGAAGAAAGGGAAGGGGAAACCCTTCGAGTCAGTGTATTGTGCGCAGGAGGAAGCGATGAAGGAGGAAGGGACGGAGGAGGAAGGAGGAGGAGGAGGAAGAAGAAGAAGAAGAAGACGAACAAGAAGACGAATCATAATAATAATATTGATAATAATATTGATAATAATAATAATAATACTATGAAGAATAAGACGAAACATATTAATAATACTCATACTAATACGAAGAAGAATACGAATAATACCTATATGACCACCCTTCGGGTGATAAGGAGGTTCGGGGGGGGAGGAGCCAACGTCTCACTCGATCGGTCTCACCATCGATCTCACTATCGATCTCACTATCGGTCTCGCTCGATCGATCTCCCTCGATCGTTCTCACAATCGATCTCACTCGATATATCTTACAATTGATATGACTATCGATCTCACAAACGATCTCACAATCGATCTCGCAATCGATATCACATTCGGTCTCGCTATCGATCTCACGATCGATATCACAACCTCTCTCACAATCGACGTCATCATCATCAACAACAACATCACCATCAACATCATCGTAGAGCTTCCCTTAGAGCGTTAGCGGCGAAGCTAGAAGAGTAATTCCAGGGCGCTGGAGGGCTAGTTGGCAAGAAAAATATCGACGGACCTTTTGCTGATTTTTTGTCGGTTGAAAATTATGTTCTCGAAATTCCTGAATTCGTTCGAGCTCTAGTATTTTTCCCCGTGATCTTCGATCTTATTCCCGCTCGCCGTCTCAATATCAGCTCGATCGGGTACCTACTACTGATAAAAAGCGTCCAGGCGGGATCGGCTGTTTCGAGTCATCTTGACACGCGTTGACGGTTTTCGGTACTTAGCTCGAGATTTAGGAGAGCTACAGAGCTGATGCTTACAGAAACCGATCCAGAGTCATCATGCGCGTTCGTCTTTTCAGTTGCATCCAGAGGTCTGAACTCGGTCTGCTACTCGAGCTAGGTCCGCGAAACTATTCGTATTCTTCGAGTCATCTTGACAGGTGCTGTTGGTTTTCTGTACTTAACTCAGGCTGTAGGAGAGCTACAGAGCTGATGTGCACAGGAAACGATTCAGAATCATCAGGCGCATTCGTCTGTTGCATCGAGAGGTCTGAACTCGGTCCGCTACTCGAGCTATGTTCGCGAAACTATTCGTATTCTTCGAGTTATCTTAACAGGCGCTGTCGGTGTTGTGTACTGTACTTAACTCGAGCTGTAGCATAGCTACAGAGCTGGTACTCACAGGTAATCGAGTTAGACTCATCAGGCGCGTTCGGCTGAAGCATCTAGAGCTCTGAACTCGGTCGGCTATTCGAGGTAGGTCTGCGAAACTAATCGTATTCGACAGATTTTTTTCGAAATGATGGTAAATTTCTTCACTCGGCCCGAGCTGCAGCTGAGCTTGAGAGCTCTTCCGCACAGAAATCAGACGAACATCATGAGGCGCGCTAGTCTGAAGTATCTAGACGCGTGGCTTGGGTCTGTTATGAGCGCAGACGCCGAACAACTAGTCATACCCTGCTATTTTTCTAGTGATGGAATTTGTTTTCTGGACTGAACTCGAGGTGCAGATGAGCTTGAGAGCTCTCAGGCATTGCAATGGGAAGAGAATCGTCATGCGCGCTATTTGAACGTATCTAGACACCCGCGCTCAGTCTGCTATTAGCGCTAGGGCCGACGACCGATTCGTATTCTGTTGTTTCCTTCGAAATGATACTGTTCTTCTTGGTTTTACTCGTGCTGCAGATGAGCTACAGAGCTGTTCCGCAACAGGGGCAACAGTGAAATGTATCTAGACGCCTGAGATCAGTCTGCTATCAGCGCTCGGGCTGAATAGCACCATCAACATCATCATCAACATCATCATCGTCATCTTCGGGGCACCATCATCATCACCATTACCAACATCAGCATCAACATCATCATCATCATCACCATCGGGACGCCATCATCATCAACATCATCATCATCACCATCAGAATAACCATTATCATCGGGACGCCATAATCATCATCAACCTCCTCATCATCAACATCATCATCATCGGGACACTATCTTAATCAATATCATCAACATCAACATCATCATACTCATCCTCATCGGGACACCATCATCGTCATCATGATCATCAACATAATCAGCATGATCATCATCATCATCCCCCTCATTGGGACACCATCAGAATTATCATCATCATCGACATCATCATCATCGACATCATCATTATCATCATCGGGACCCCACCATTATCATATCATCATCATCATCGTCTTCATCATCATCACCATCATCATCATCGTCATCATCATCAGCAGCATCATCATCATCAACATCACCATCATCATCATCATCATCGTGTTAATCATCATCATCATCATCATCCTCTCATCATCATCACCATCATCATCATCATCATCGCGGGACACCGAGGGACACCGGCGGGACACCGCGGGGCACCGCGGGACACCGCGGGACACCGCGGGACACCGGCGGGACACCGCGGGCCACCGGCCGGCCGGAAGGGAGTCATTTGGTCCGGCCGCGCCTCAGCCACACGGGACACCAGCGGGACACTGGCCGGACACCGCGGGCCACCGGCCGCCCGGAAGGGAGTCATTTGGTCCGGCCGCGCCTCAGCCACAGGAGACTTTCTCTCGCCCGCCCACTCAGCTTCGCCTCGCCCGCACGGCACGCACGAACACGAAACCGAAATCAATTTCCCTGTAGGGGGGCTCTCCATTCCACTTCGATCTCACCCCCCCACCTCCGAATAATAATAATAATAAACAGAATAATAATAAGAATAATACGAATACTCAGAAGAACAGTAATAATAATAAGAAGAAGAAGACGAATAGTAATACGACTAATAAGAAGAAGGATAATATTAATAACATTACGAAAAATAGCGAGAATAATCATATTAAGAATAATAAGAATAATACGAACAATATTAGAAGTACGAATAATAATATAACCAGAAC